ACCTTCATGGAGGCCCCATAAATGAATGGCCCTTGTGAAATTCACAGTCCTGGAGGAACCAGAAGAGGCACAGGGCTTTCAGATGTCATCTTAAATCAGAGCTCAAGGAGTTACTGCCATAGATAGGAAGTCCAGGTGTACACACAGCACTAGTCTCAGCCATAAAACTGGACAAAAAAGACTTTGGCAAAGTCTGGGATTTGAGGAAAAAGCTAGAAATCAATAAGCTATATACCATCCGTCTATTACTTCAGTAGTCAAATACACAGGTAATGCTTCTATGGTTGCTTCACATACATCATTGCATTTTATGCTCATCCTCACAGTCACCTTTGGAGATCTCAGCCGGAGCCTTCAAAGAGGTGAGCCTTAGAAGATTCAAGCCCCAAAGGGCTAGAAGCAGAGGAGGCTTCCTGCTGCTGCTTCTGACTCATGTTTCTGTTGTGACTCATGGTCAACCACCAGATATAGACAGAGCTCCCATGCCTACAGCACCCATTCTGGTCAAATCCAGGAAATTCCTGCCCTGTTGATCTTACCCTATTGGTCATTTTATGTCACAGTCACCTAAAGTCAAACGTCTATATAAGTTGAGGGGGAAAAAAAACTGAAGGTTGTGATTGTGTTGTGAAAACAGGTAAGGGTCATACGGCTCTATATTGTCACATGATTTTTAAAGTTATAGTGGCAACAATGACTTCAAAGTGCTGTGCTATCACTCCAAGCACCCCGAGAACTTTCTCCACATGGCCGGCCAAGGCTGGCACAAGAAGTTATCTCAGAAACCGTTGGACCCCTTACTGTCCCTGGAAGGGATCAGGGTGACTCACCCAGGAGGTACAGCAGGCAGTGCTCCCTAGGGCCTACGATACCCCCTAGAACCAAAAGGATTTTAATTTCCATTTGTTTTACAATCAGAAGAAAAAGATGAATAAAATAGTAATGGATACATAATAATGAATCCAGTTTCAATTATGTTTGTCTTTGTTCTAACACAGTCATAAATACAATTTTTAATACTTTTATGGAGGAGGAGAACACAAGACAGCAGTGCCTGGGGCCCAGGGAAGACCCACAGCAGCTGGGCTGCTTCTTCCCAGCCACATGCCCCCCAGACAGTCTCGGGGCTTCCCTCACAGAGCAGTGGTGCTGGCTCCACGGCTCCCCATTTCCAGCCAAGAATAGCTTTAGCAGCTTAAAGAAAGCCCTTTGTATCCACTCCTCTGCTTCCATGTTACCAAAGCAATGAGACCCGAGCACATCCCCTGCTCTCATGGCTCCACCAGACACACAGCACATACAGGCTTGGAAATACTGTATCTTTGGGTCTCCCTGACATGCTATTCAGAAAGGGAAAATTCACAAAAAAAAACAATAGAAAGCAGCCTGTAATCAAAAGTGTCCTAGAAATCTGAGTCAATTGGCTGGAATTTTTCACATCTTAAAGTATGTGAGACTTATGTGAATAAGGAGATAATAAACACTAAAGCCTAGCTGGGGGGAAGTTGTGGTTTTCCCACCACACCGATGTCTGCTTGTGTATTTTCACACATATTATTGATGGCATGTGCTTCCTGAGATGGCAGAAGATTAGATAGGTGTGAGCACACCTTTATTAAATGCTGCAGATATGTAATCCTCAGAGAGGTGAGGTAGTGTCCCCCAGCCAACCCTGCTGGTTAAAGCTCTCTGCACTACTCCTCTGACCGATGCAAAATTGGAGTGACGTTTAGCAGACTGTTTGACGCCATCGTGGCTACTATAAAATTTTTAAATTGTTGTGAGAATGTGATTATTTTACTGAACTGTAAAAAGGGCCCAAAAATGTCTGTTAAAAAGAAATGATAGGGACCGGGTATATAGCTCAGTGGTTCAAGCGCCTGCCTGGTAAGCACGAGGTCATGAGTTTGATTCCTGGTACAAAAAAAAAAAAAAAAAAGAAAGAAAGAAAGAAATGATGAAAATCTGGAGTGATCGGTAGGCCCATTATCCTGACCTGGTCATTATATACTGTATACACATACTGAAGTGTCACAAGATATGTACAATTAAAAATGTGTTATTAAAAACTTTTTAAATTATACTTTTAAAATGTTGGCTGGCTGAATAAGTAAATATTTTACATGTAAAAGGTACTCCACTCTATTATCAGGTCTAGAGGAACTAAGGTAGTATAACAATGCATCATTCTCCGTCATGATCTACAGTGATCATAGTCACAAATGCCACAAACCTTAGGGGCTGGGGATTTAGCTCAGCGGCAAAAGCGCCTGCCTGGCAAGCGCAAGGTCGTGAGTTCGGTTCCCGGTACCGGAGGGGAAAAAAAAAAAAAAATGGTGGTCTCTCTCACATCATGTGGCCTTGATACCAAGTCCAATGTGAAGCCACTGGCCCCAGCTTTGGCAGACACAGCTCTGTGGGGAGACATTTTGTCTCCTCTCATAGTGGGCCACATGCTCTGTTCCAGAACATTCTGTGTGAGGAAGATCCACATTGAGTTCCACACCAAAAAAAACTATTGATAATCTGGCTAATTTTCATTAGAAACTGAATATTACTGACATAGTATTTGTGCCCAAAATGTTCAATCAAAATTGATTTAGGAGGAATTAACTAAACTCTACTAGAAAAGTCTGCAAAATGGCAGGACTAGACTTTCCTAAAATTTGAAACAATGGGAAAATTATTCTAAATTTTTTCAAAAAGAGAGTTTAAATGCAAACTCCATGTGAGAACATTGACTGGATATTGTACCAAAAAATTTAAACCAACTTTTAAAGATGAGATATTTACAACATAAGTGGGGTAATTGAAAAATGAAATGAGTGCTATTTATCAATGTTGTATTTTTGATACCGAGGTTATGCATGAGAATCACCTGGTCTTAAGAGTCTTAAGAGATGTGTCATGAAATATTTGAGGTTAAAAGTCATGATTTTGTTGTCAGATGGTTTGACAAGAAAATATCTGTGTGCATGTATGTGCATGTGTGTGTGTGTATGAGCATGTCTGTCTGTGCAGAGAAAGAGAAGAAGCATAGCAAAACGATGAGAATTGTAGAATTACAGTGAAGTGTATTCACCTTTCACTGTATTCCTCTTTTAGTACATCTGTAAAATTCAGTATTCTCAAAATTAACGGTTAGGGGAACTATAGATAAGAATAATTTTATAGAGAAATATTCAAAGGCAGAAACCTAAGATCAGCGTATCACGTTTAAATATGTCAGCGTGATTCCACTTGGGGCTATGTCGTCAAAGGTGTTACTTGAGGTCACTCGATGCAGTGCCTCCAAAGTTACACAAGACACGGCAGCCTCGAGTGCTGATCGCAGGACTGAACAATGACAGTGACTTCCACTTTCTTATTTTGATTTATTAAAATCGGCCTACTTTCACACGCGTACATTCGTATACCATGTAAGTCACTTCTAAGAGACTGAGACCCGGATGTCGTTCGTGTTTTTAACCAGGTTAACCGTGTTTTTAACCTTTGCCACACAAGGTCCTGCTGAGATGGTGCCTATGTTAATGCAGGTTAACCTTGTGTTTGCACAATTAAGATTATACCTGTCAGTCGATATAAATGATTCCACATGACAAAAGAAAGACGTTGACAATAGTTCTAGACTCTTAGGTGGATACTAGCAATATATAAATATCACCCAGAGGGCCTGCAAATGGGAATTCCTGAAAGACAAGTTCAGCTGGTTGTGAGGCTAAAGGAAGCAAGGAATCCATGCCTGAGGAGAGAAGGCTGCATCGGGAAGTAATGACCTTTACAAGCACGTTAAGCACCTGTCTGGGATGTTCTGAGAAGGAGGGGCAGGGCATTAGCTAACTTCTAATCCAACCTTCAGTCTCTGAAGAGTCTGGATCAGAAATAACTATAGTGGTGATAAATTAGGCTAAGTTCCCCAGTGCAAAAACTGCATGACAGTCTGCCACTGAGAGAAGGTGATCACTGAGAGGTTGGGGTGTGACATGAAAGAACCGGAATAGCATGAGTATTACAGGCTGAACAACCCTAACCTAAAACTCGGAAATTCAAAAAGCTCTGAAATCTGAAACATTTTTTGGAGCACTTTCGAAGTTCCCGATGTGGGAGTATTTTGGAATTTAGATTGGGGATGCTTAGTCAGGTAAAATGTATGCAAACATGCCAACATTTTAAAAACAACAAAATACTTCAGGTCCCAAGATGAGGATGAGGAAAAATCAATCTATATTCAGTAGACTGATTACTCAAATAAACTAACAAACAAAACAACCAATCCAAAGTGAGTTTCCTGTTACCATGACCAAAATTATCTCTACTATATGAATTTAGTTTTAAATGTTGGCGTATTCACACAATGGAACACAGTTTTGAAATTTAAAACAGAGCCAGGCGTGGTGGTGCACACCTGTAATCCCAGCACTCGGAAACCTAGGCAGGAAGATTGCTGTGAGTTTAAGGCTACATAAGCCAGTTCAAGGCCAGCCTGAACTGCATAGCGAGACCCTGTTTCAAAAAGAAAAGAAAGAAAGAGAGAAAGAAAGAAAGAAAGAAAGAAAGAAAGAAAGAAAGAAAGAAATTCAAAAAAGACATGAAGAACAAACTAACCTGAAACCATATTTACGTGGACCGAAAGATCTTTATGCTGAGCAAAAGAAACACAAAAAGATGTATACTGTGTTGTTTCAGTATACAGTATTTCTAATTATTTAAAAATAAGCAAAACTAAACTGTTAGATATCAAAAGGTCATTGTGAGAGATTAAGAGAAGATGAATAAAAAGGTATAAGAGGGACCTTGTTGAGGGACAGAAATGTCCCATATTTTGTTTTCTACACCTTGGGGGGGGTCACATGGTTGTATACAGTTGTCAAAGCTCGAACTGCACACCTATGACCTATGTGTGTGGTCGTTGTCATTGGTATTATTCTGTAAATAAATAAAACAAAAATAATATTAAGAATCCATACTTCTTCCTGCCATGGGAAGCGTGCAGTACTTACCGGGTGGTTTCTTCCTATAGCAGAACATGACGGCACCTGGTCTCTCACTCAGTCACAGCAGTTGGCCTAATAGAAGTACAAGAGGCAGACACGACATCAGCATTTGGAAAATGCCCAGCAGTCTTGGATTTATAGCCTCTAACTTTCTTCCTAGACAAACGTAGGTGACTATGAAGTCACTGGTACCATGAGGAAGAACAGATTCCATTTCTCAGGCTTAAATCTAACCAAATAAGATAATTACGTACCAGAAAATAATGTGTTTGTATTATAAAGGTGTTGAAAGGGAAGATCTCAGAAGCAGTTTCCCTCTGACTTCTGTGCTCTGTCTCTTCCCCTTCTTCTCCCCCAAGCAAGCCGTGGAGATTAGAACGCCTCTTCCTCAGGGCAAGTCACAACAACCAGAGCCAGTCTCGCAGAGGGCTTTGTAAAACCCACAAATATTATTCTAGCTTCCCCTGTCTTTCTGTGTAGAGTTGACCATAAAGAAATTCTCAGACCTGCTGTGTTTGAGACCCCAGCCAGAAAGGGCCCTGCCCCATACCTTGGAGGAAGAAAGGTAACCACTGAGAGCCAAGAGAAACCAGGAGGGACAGACTCACTGGGCTTCTCTACTACTCTCATCATGATGCTCAGACCCTTTTGGCCCAATCCCAGTGCTACATGGCTTTCCCAGCATCAATGAACCTAAGTATAGAAATGGATTAATTCATCCAGGGTCTTAGGGTCTTCACTCTGAAGGCTCCTGTGTCATGTCAAACTACAATCAAATTTTTTTAAAGTTTTGACTTTTCCCTTGCTAAAAGTTCTTACCAGTTTATCTCAACAGACGCAAACATAAACCTTGGTGAGAAAATGTGAACTTCCCAGTACAGACTGTAAGGGACACATGAAGGTAAGGACAGTGTGCTGTTCCATTTGGCATCAAAACTGAGTCAAGTCTCCTAAAGCATCCCAACCCCCATATGTGGTCTACTTTCCTTTAGACAGCAAGCTCCATTGAAGACTTAAAAATAAAGGGGCAAGCAGATGGTTTCCTACATGCAGAACCCCACAGGCCGTGGGAAGGAACACCGACCCGAGTGGCCAAGGTCCTGAATATGTCACTCTCTATCAGGATGAGAAGTGACTCTGTGGTCATGAAGGATGAAGGGATGTGGCAGAACTCAATGACACACAAAGAAGCTGCTTAGTCATATGGAGACTAGTGATGGGGAAGACAATGGTTTGGCACTTACGAGAAGACAGATTGCAAAGGAGGTTCCTCAACATCCATGGCGCCCCTGCAGACCCTCCAGAATCTAGAGTCTTCACGAAAGTGGAGCGAGGGCTTCCGGGGGCTAAGAAGCACTTCCCTTGGGTTTTTTTCATGGTTATTTTTGTTTTTTGGTTTTAGTCTCTCTCTCTCTCTCTCTCTCTCTCTCTCTCTCTCTCTCTCTCTCTCTCTCTCTGTTTTCTCTTTCTTTCATGACTTAGATTTATTACCTTCCATTTTATTTTCATTTACATGTCTTCTTACTCTCTTTTGTCAATTATCTTGCTTGATTTTATGGCACTTTCATGTGAATAAACATGGACACTTCTCTTCCTGGTTCATTTCAGTACTCTTCTGCTTTCTCCTATTCTTTCTCTCCTGTGTCCTCCAGTTTCCATCACTTGGGTGATCATCCTTTGCCCTCAAGCCTTGCTCCTACTATACTGGACTTCACTCATCACTCTATCTTGCTCCCATCCTTCTTAATCGCCTCCCTCACAACAGGGTAAAATCACTCCATTAAGGGAAAAAATCATTACATACAAGTCCCTGATATATGCTAGATTCTGTTATATAACCACATGATTATCTCAATAGATACAGAGAAAGCATTTAATAAAGTCCAACACCCATTCATGATTTGAAAAAAAAAAAAAAACCTACAGAAATTGGAATAGAAGGGCTTTATCTCAATCTGATAAAAAGTTATCTGTGACAATCCAACGGCTAACATCACACCAAATGGTCAAAAACTGGAAGCTTTCACTCTAAAATCAGGAACAAGACAAGGATGTCCACTATCACCACTCCTATTAATGTAGTTCTGGAAACATCAGAGAGAGCAATTAGACAAGAGAAAGAAACAAAAGGAATAAGGGTAAGAAAGGAAGAAGTTAAATTATCATTATTTGTGGATGATGTGATACTTTATGTAGAAGACCCCCAAAACTCCACCAAAAGACTTCTAGATTTAATAACCAAATTTAGTAGTTTAGCTGGATACAAAGTGAACACTCAAAAATCAATAGCCTTCCTGTACACAAAGAACAAATTCACTGAAAGAGAAATCAGGGAAACCACACCCTTCACAGTAGCATCCAAAAAAATAAAATACTTAAGAATAAATCTAACAAAGGAAGTAAAAGAGCTATACATTGAAAATTACAGTTCACTGAAAAAGATTGAAGAGAACATCAGAAAATGAAAAGATAACCTTTGCTCATGGATAGGAAGAGTCAACATTGTGAAAATTGGCCATATTTCCAAAACTGTTATACAGGTTCAATATAATCCCAATCAAAATACCATTATCATACCTCAAAGATCTAGAAAAAACATTCTTAAAATTCATCTAAAACCAGAAGAGACCTAGAATAGCAAAAACAATCCTGGGCAACAAAGGCAAGGCAGGAAGCATCACAGTCTTTGACTTGAAATTATACTATAAAGCTACTCTCATAAAATCAGCATGGTACTGGCAAAAGAAAACAGACCTGAGGATCAATGGAAGAGATTAAAAGATTCAGACACAACTACAAACACACTCAACCACCTTATCTTTGACAAAGGGGCCAAACATGTTCACTGGAAGAAAGATAGCCTCCTTAATAAATGGTGCTGGAAAAACTAGCTGTCTATATGTCAAAGACTAAAACTAGAGCTGATGTCTTTCACAATCTACTAAACTTAACTCAAAATGGATCAAAGATCTAAATATTAAAACAGAAACACTAAATCTACTGGAAGAGGAAGTAGGTAGAAATCTTAAAGACATATGTATAGACAAAGAGTTTATGAACAAAACCCAGACCACATGGGAAATGCTTCAAAGAATCAACAACTGGGATCTCATTTTATTAAAAATCTTTGCACATTAAAAGAAATCACAAACAGAGTGAAAAGACAACACACAGAGTGGGAAAAAATTTTAGCCAGTTTTCCCTCAGACAAAGCACTTATACCTAGAACATAGAAAACATTGAAAAAAATCATGCTTCCCAAATTCAAAGACTCAGTCCAAAAATGGGCATCTGAAATGAATAGGCACTTCTAAGATGAAGAAATACAAATGGCAAATAAATATATGAAAAATGTTCAGCATCACTGGTCATTTGAGAGATGCACATTAAAACAACACTGAGATTCCATCTCACTACAGAAAGAATTGCTATCACCAAGAAAACAATCAATAACAAATGCTGGAAGGGCTGTGGGGAAAAAGGAACACTTCACTCTGTTGATAGGAGTGCAGACTGATACAACCACAGTGGACATCAGTATGGAGATTTTCCCAAAAAATAAGATTAGAGGTCCCATTCAACCCAGCTATTCCCCTTCTGGGTATCTTCCCAGAAGAATTAAAAAAATCATGCCATGGTGATATATTTGCACCTATAGCACCATAATTTATAATAGCTAAATCTTGGAAACAACCTAAATACCCATCAACTGAGAAATGGATAAAAAAGATGCAGTCTTTTTATGCAATGGAGTACTACTCAGCTATAAATAAGGATAAACTTGGGGCTTTTATAGGTAAAGGATGCAACTTGAGATCATACTCATAAGGGAAAATCAGACCCACATGTGTGAACATCATACTGTCTCCCTGGTGTGAGAAACTGAAAGAGTAAGTAAGGTCCAAAATATACAATAGATATTGTGAAATGGGAAGAAATTGTTCAAAAGGAACTAGGATGAGGCAAAGGGGAAGGAAGGAATGGAAAAGGAAAAGAACAAACAAGACAGGTACACTGCTAGTTTCTCTTAGTTCGTCGAAAAGAAAGGTTTGTGCTAATATCGTGTGGAGAATTTTTTATGCCTGTATACTGTACTCTGAGTAACTACTTTAAAGATAACAATACTCAATGTATCCATTACTGTTATCTCCCTATTATTTTGTAATGAAATATTGTTTTATTTTTCCATAAAATAAAAATAAAAAAATTTTAAAAGTGAATTTTTATTCGTGAAGGGCTTCCTTTGTTGTCTCTTTGTTTCACAAAATAGTTATATTACCTCTATGCAAAAATGTAGAGCTAGCCACAGTGGACAGAATATGACCTCAGGAAGAAGGATGCATGAGTTCTGTGAGGAGGACATCAGGACCTGGTGGCCCTATCTGGCCAGAGGGGATGGCCCGTCAGCAAGTTCTGGGCCACTTTGTCAGCCTTTGACCCTTCTCTCTGGGGACAAGGTCAACACGTTCTGTCAGGCTCCTAATCCCCAGACAGAGGACAGGAGGAAGAACTCTTTAACCTAGGTTGCAAAAGAGACTCTCAACTGGGACAGAGGGTAAGGAGATCACAGCAGAGGGAATTCAGCTCTCAGAAAGTTAACAGGCACACCAGCCACCGGCCAGCTTAGCCTCTGCTTCTCTTGTTGGTTTAGAAGATCGGTAGCAACAGATACCTGCAGAAAAGATGAACCTACTTATAAGTGTGCAAGATGAAGGGAACATATTCATGCAACACCTTTCTTCTCTTATTTTAGATCTTCCTGCAAGAACTTCTCATTTTAAAAGCTCCCAGAAAATCAAGCATGAAGCAACACCATATCCTTCCTAAAATTACTTTTTAAACTATTCCATTATGCTGTTACTTTTAGAATTTCTGTAATACCACATTCCAAACTCTTAGAAACCTTTTAGTTTGATGTTCAATAAATCTATTGTTTTATTTTAGCCACTTTTGATTTTGCAGAAAATAGTCTCCACTTCTGAATGATACTATGATCACTGTCCTATGATGAAACAGTACTACAGGTTTTTCAGAAGTTATTTCTTATTTGTGATCTTATTTGAATGTTTTTC